GATTTTAGAGAATGAGGAAGGGAGAGGTAGAGAGAGAGAGAAACATCGATGTGAGCGAGAAACACCTATCGGCTGCTTCCTGCATGCTCCCTGCTGGGGACTGAGCCTGCAGCCCAGGCGTGTGCCCTGACCAGGAAACGAACTGGCATTTCTTGGGTCATAGGTCGATGCTCAACTGCTGAGCCGCGCTGGCTGGGCTGCTTGGAAGATTTTAATAGCTGTCTAAATTCTCTCCATAAATCCACTCTGCCCCCCTGTAATACATTCTCCTTTCTGTAGTCAGGGTTGTCTTTTGGAAATACAAATCTGGTCACTTCACCCTTTAACCTAAAAGCTTTCTGTGTCTTCCAGGCTCCTTTAGGCTGCACAGAAAAAACCTTCCCAGGTGTGACCCCTCCATCTCTCCAGCCTCTCTCCCACGGCCCCCAGCTCTCTGTGCTCCCACTACTTGGGCCTTCTTGTGATTCTTTTGTTCACTGCCCTCTCACCACACGTTGTCCTTTCTGGCTGCAAGGTTCTGCCTCTCTCTTTTCCTCTTTCCTCTTCTTTGAGGCCAGTCCTCACTCCCCAGGTACCCCCATTTCCCCTAACATCCCAGCTCCTAACACTGCACACCTCTCCTTCTTAGCACTTATTACTATTTAAAGTTTATGTTTATTTGTGTGACTCTTGGATTAAGACCTGCCTTCTACACAAGCCAATAAGCTCGTGAAGCTGGGCTGTATCTTTTTGACTTGTAGAGGGGCTTACTGTTGCTAGCTTGGTAACACATCCTGAAGGTGCTTATAAATATTTATTGAATGACCATGATTTCTTCTTGGCTTCCCCTTCTGGAATTTTATGGCTCTGCCTCACATAAGTCATCACTTCATCTATGACTTATTCAATAGCCAGCCTACCTCGATCTAAAGGTTCTACCTTTATCTGAGCTTTTCCAGCTTTATAGGAAGGCGTCTGGGCTTAGTTTTCTAGTGGCCATATGTGCGTCTTTCTTTTTTTCTTCTGTGAAAATCCAGGCCCTCATCTAAGGCCATCCTTTTCTCTGACTGAGGAATCCTTGCAGCTCTGACCATCTCTCTAGGTTCTCCTTGGTGACCTCTCCTAACAACCTCTCATTCATGAGCCTTTCCTAACTACAACTCCACAGTCTGGAACATAAGCAATAAAAGAGGTTGATATTTCAATGATAATGGCAGTAATTAAGGGTCCTGCATGAATTTTTATTGCCTCTTAAACAGGAACTGAACTCACTTATCTCATTGCTGCAATTTACCATCTATCCTGGCATGATGAAGGCATTGTATTTATAAGAAATTTTACATTCTCAAAAGTCATGATATGAAAACAATTGCTGGACTAGAAAAAAGTGGTTAGGGATTGGGAAGGATCAGATTCCTAATAAAGTTATTTTTCCTACAGAATTTTTTCCTAATAAAGCTTAAAAAAATTAGCTCTGAGAATGTTAGTAAAGCCCAGCACTGCAAAAAACTTAGTGTTTCACTACATATAGCATTTGCTCCAGAATAAGTCTTTGTTTTCCGTCAATGCCTGCACTATCATTAGCAAAGAATATTTATACCGTCCTGTTTCCTTGATTACCCAATTGTTATAATAAATCAAATACCAAGCCTCTCAAACAAACCAGCTTTTATAGACAACAGCTTCTCTCATGCTAAGGGGCTAGTTCCAGATCTAGTATACTAATGGGATATGTAATGCTAATCAAGTTCTCTGATTTATCCAATTTGCTTAACCCCCCCCAGAAACTCAAGCCTGTGATTTTCTCATATCTGAGCAGCCTACATCAAACAATAACACCCGTGTTCTAATGTTTTCCCCTGAACCAGGTGATGCAGGCCCAGTGTGTCAAAACAGAAACTGAATTCTACCGCCGCAGCCGCAGTGAGATAGTGAATGGAGAAGGGCACACCATGGGGGCGCTGTATTGGCAGCTGACCGACATCTGGCAGGCCCCTTCCTGGGCCTCTCTAGGTAAGTGTTTCAGCTTTCTTTCCATGTGAGAGAGAAAGCAGTACCTGTGAGGAGAGGCACTGAGAAAACACAGAGGCCCAGGTGAGGAGATTCTCCAGCAGCAGGTCTGTGCAGGTTTATGAACTGGGCTC